TGGGACAGGCTGGTCCGTGGTCACTGACGTAACTACGGTCATCCCGGAGGATATATACATTGCTAGACCAGCCTTTATAGTTTGCCTGTTGGGGTGCGTGTCAGGCAGGAACAGGGCTATCTGATCAATTAGAATGGGCCGCCTCTGAGGATAGCGAGGACAGATAGTTTATGGCCGCGTGGTGAGTCAAATCATACGGGTCTGTGTGTTTGTTTTGTTGGGTTAGGCCCTTTCGGTCTAACAAGACCATTGCAGAGCCGGAAGGATGATAGGAATTAAGGGGTGACATTGGTCTGGGCAGGCACCCTAGTGAGTCACCGGGGCTGAGCCCGTCCAGAGGACAGGCCGACCAGCCCCCCAAGCACTCTCTGCACCCGGCTATGGGGTGCGCTCCCTCGGAAGCAGCGGTGCTGCTCCAAGGGAGCAGCCCGCATGACATAAAGTTACCTGTCCAGCCCGGAGCGGGGGTTGCGGCGTGGAGGAGAAGGATTTCTGTATCCTGAGGATAGAAGCACTTGGTGTCTTGGTTTAGCTCTCTGGTGGCTTTATCTGCCGACGTTTATCGTTCGAACCGGTGTCAGTGTGAGTTAACCCTAGGCCCCTAACTCTCTCCTCTTCCCACAGGCTGTGACGCCACTGGTGCTGAACGCTGACGTCATCAGCACCTCTGGGAATCCAGCGCCGGTCTGCGCCGAGACCCTCCTCTCGCATCACGCCCGCTTCGACAACGTCACCATCCCTCCCGTCGTCTCCCTGGGCTGGTGTCCACCTAGCGGCGGCGACGCAACACTAAGTACACTCAACATATCACAGATGGCAGCACTGGCGCGGGGCCGGGCGGCGACGCTGGCCGTGCGGGCTGATGTGGCATTGAGGTCACAGCGGCAGCTGGAGGGGCTGCTGGGTGACCTGCCCGGGTGTGGGCTCACCCTGTGGGCCCACCCGGGTGACCCCGTCTGCCCCGAGACGCTGAGGAGATGGGTGGACAGTCTGGGAACGCGGCAGGTGTGGGTGGACGTGCCGCAGGAGATGTTTCCCGACTCGTGAGTGAACAGCCGTCACACATGTGACCCTCACTTAGTGCGTCACGGCCATTTTATTTGAAATGTGTTGCCAAACTGGAGAAGGATGCGGCATCTCCCAGGAAGTGTGGCTACACTGCATCCTTCTCTAATGGAGTAGAATGCGGCAGCGCTCCGAGACCAGGTGGCCATCCAGCTGCCGATACTCCTGCCGTCCCAGCGGGCCATCTTCGATCGGGTTCTGGCGGCCGTCGACGGGCGGCGTCCGCTGGCCGTGTTCGTGGACGCCGCTGGCGGCACGGGAAAGACGTACGTCTTCAACACGCTGCTGGCGGCGGTGCGCTCGCAGGGTCTGGTGGCGCTCGCCGTGGCCTTCAGTGGAATCGCTGCCACTCTGCTGGACGGCGGCCGCGCACATACCACTCAAGTTTCAAGGCACCGCTGCAGGTCGACGCGACATCAACGTGCGCCATCAGCGCGCAGAGCCCGCTGGCGGAGCTCATCCGACGGACGGCGCTCATCGTGTGGGACGAGGCGCCCATGGCGCACCGTCACCACCTGGAGCCTAGACCGTTACTGGGAGTGAGGAGCCCTTCGGGATCAAGTCCCCGCGCTCGGCGGGGACTTTCGATATATTTTTCCCAGTCATCTGCGGTGATGAACAGCAATATCAGCACGATTCTGCTCCCGATCTCCACGTCTTTTTGCCGGGAAGTCGGAGTGTACACCCAGCTTTAGTGTTCGACGCACTTCACTGTTTGACTCAACATGGCTTTGCTACCGATGCCATATTTGTCTTACATTCCCTAACATTATTGGCTGGTCAGTGAGTGAAGTTCGTCTTGTCAGTGGTCTGTGACGGTTGGCCTCTAACCCGAGTCGGCGAGCTCAGTGCTGACACCACCGAGCGAGCGCTGCCCCAGAGAGGCCGTCCACTTACTGAGCGCCGACAGTGTGGTGGAGGAGGCCGACCAGCTGGATATTCAGCGTGAGTATCTAAACACTCTGTGCGACCCGGCTTCCCACCTCACTGCTTGATGATAAAGCCAGACACGCTACTCATGCTGCTTCGCTGTCTGCTACTCATGCTACTCATCTGTCCGCTCCTGTGTGTTCCTGGTAACTGGTTTCCTATCGCTCTCTAACTATCGAGCCTGAGTATTTGAACGCGCAGTGTGTAAGCCGTAAGGAGTTTCGGGTTTCTCACCGCTCCGCCTTGACTATCAAAGTTCTAAGTGTGGTATCCCACTGGTTGTTCCTTCCGGTTAGTTCTGCTCGCTGTGTCGCGTCTAGGTAGTCACCAAATGAAAATTAGATCTGGTAGTTGTAGCAAACACTGTGCTATGTCGTGATGGCGCTAGCTTTCCCCGACTCACTTCTGACCCTCTTTATAATCCTTGCCATCATTTTCCTGTCTTCTTACAAGCTTTATTGGCGCGCACCCGTTCATTCCTTTTCCTAATCGCGTCGAGGAACGGCGACAGGTGACAGCTGTGCGTTTCTTCGTAGAAACGATGTTTGTACTTGGTAATGTGTTGTTATTGTTGTAACGTGTGTCGTGTGTTAATACATGTAGCGCGAGTATCTCATCTCGTTTCTGTGTGGCGGAAACAGCCGGTCGGCGGTCATAAGTTGTCAGGTGACAACGGTGTCTTTGAGATGTGATTTCGTATTGACTTTTCTTGCTTCGTGTCTACACAGTGCCCATACTATGTCTTGACTGTCGACCTAGAACGATTTTACACGAAGGTCGCACTTTACTCGTAAAACGCACTAAATCGGCGACAAGATTATTGTGGACAGTATTCGTTGGATGTTCCTCACGGAGATTAACCAAAGCTAATGTCGATAGTCCACAAGACAACCGGCATTTGGCAAGTGTGGTGGTGCGAATCTCAGCCCCGTCAAGCCGTTGAGTGTTGGGTGCCTTTCCTTGTCCTACGGCAGTCTCCGTGGACGCAGTGGCGGATCCAAGGGGGGTCACATGGGTCATGCCCCCCCCCCCCCTTGAGGCCCGGGGGCCCAAAGACCTGCCAGGGGCACCACCGGCCTATCAGGGGTATCACAGTCCTAACAGGGGCACCACAGGACCGCCAGAGGCACCACAGGCCTAGCAGGGACACCACGGGCCTGGTGCCCCTGGGCCCTGGCAGGACTGTAACGCCCCTGACAAGCCTGAAGTGTCCCCGGCAGGCACGTGGTGCCCCTGACAGGCCTGAGGCGCCCCTGCAAGGCCGGTGGTGCCCCTGGCAGGCCTGTGGTGCCCTTGCTAGGCCTCTGGTGCCCCTGACAGGCTTGTAATGCCCCTGGAAGGACTGTGGTGCCCCTGGGCCCTGACAAGCCTGAGGTGCCCCTGACAGGCCAGTGGTGCCCTTGCTAGGCCTGTGGTGCCCCTGGCAGGCCTCTGGTGCCCCTGACAGGCTTGCGGTGCCCTTGGAAGGACTGTGGTGTCCCTGGGCCCTGACAAGCCTGAGGTGCCCCTGACAGGCCCGTGGTGCCCTTGTTAGGCCTGTGGTGCCCCCTGGCAGACCTCTGGTGCCCTTGCTAGGCCGCTGGTGCCCCTGGCAGACCTCTGGTGCCCTTGCTAGGCCGCTGGTACCCCTGCGCCCGGAGAGGACTGGTGCCCCTGAAAAGTCTGAAGTGCCCCTCGGCAGGCCCGTGGTGCCCCTGACAGGCCCAAGGTGCCCCTGCGAGGCCGGTGGTGCCCCTGGCAGACCTCTGGTGCCCCTGGCAGGTCTGTGGCGCCCCTGGCAGACCTGTGTTGACTGGTGCCCCTGCTAGGTCGCTGGTGCCCCTCACAGACCTGTGGTGCCCCTGGGCCTTGACAAGCCTGAGATGCCTGGCTATGACAGGCTCGTGGTGCCCCTGATAGACCAGTGGTGCCCTTGCTAGGCCTGTAGTGCCCCTGGCAGGCCTCTGGCGCCCCTGCTACCCCTGCGCCCGGAGAGGACTATGGTGCCCCTGAAAAGCCTGAAGTGCCTCTCGACAGGCCCGTGGTGCCCCTGGGCCCTGACAGGCCCAAGTTACCCCTGCGAGGTCGGTGGTGCTCCTGGCAGGCCTCTGGTGCCCCTGGCAGGTCTGTGGTGCCCCTGGCAGGCCTGTGTTGACTGGTGCCCCTGCTAGGCCGCTGGTGCCCCTCACAGGCCTGCGGTGCCCCTGGAAGGACTGTGGTGCCCCTGCCCCTAGGGGTGCTCATGGGCCCAACAGGCCCGTTGTGCCCCTGACAGGCCTGTCGTGTATACTTGCTAGACCTGTGGTGCCCCTGCTTCCTGGCAGGCCTGTGGTGCCCCTGGCGGGCCTGTGGCGCCCCTACAAGGCCGTAGGTGCCCCTGACAGGTTTGTGGTGTCCCTGGAAGGATTTTGGTGCCCCTGACAAGCCTGAAGTGTCAAGGACAGACCCTTTAGACGCCAGGGTCAAGTTCGTCGGACTGACAACGATTTGCTTACCTGATAACGTTCCTGGTAAGTACTCACTACTCAGCGTCCACAACATAGGTATATACACATAGCAGTAGCACATTCATATATACTTGCTTACAATTGGTAAATGTGGTTGTGGCTAAGAGTTAAGATACTGACTAAAAATAAAAAGTAAAAAGAAAAAAAAACTGAAAATGGGGGCACCACCAAAATGAAGTGGACGAAATCCGTTGAGTTTTTAATTTTGGGTATAGGTAGGGGCACCACTTCGATTCATGACCCTCCCCTTGGAGTTTTCCTGGATCCGCCCCTGCGTGGACGATATTTTACATCATATAACCCTGCGTAGACGACCCTTACGCTGGCGCCATCTGTTCTGGGTACCGTGCCTTTCTGGCTGTTCGCGTTACCAGCCCTGTTCGCGATAGTGCTGCCATCTCTGCGGCGAGATGCAAACTAAGGCCGATATTGTGCCACTGCTTCTTACAATACCTCCAGATTATGGTCTATGGGTGATGATTCGGCTCTTCAAATCACACCTCCAAGAAAACACTTCTCCACGGTTATGTTTTATGAAGCAAATGGACAATGATTACATGAGCAATCGTACAGCGCAATGCGTTCAGTATAAAACGCACACATTCCGGCATATACCTACCTACATTACGGGAGTTGCACAAAACACATCACGGAGTTGACCAGGTCACAAATAAACAAACATTCTGGAATTGCGTCATAAGTATCACACAAACACACGCGGAATGCACAGCTGAACAAACAGCGTCCCCCGATGCGGGGATCATAGGCAAGCTCAGGTGATCCACTTTTACACGTCGCAAGTTCTCAAAGTTTCTACAAGTCACAAACCAACAGCCTGTGGAAATGACGAGCATGCGCACTAGGAGTCACAGTTTTAACACTTGTATGCGTCTCGAAATGGAACAACTGTCCACTTCGCACGCAAAGTCGGCACATCCGAAAGCTGAGGTCACATCTCATGACTTGTTGGCAGCATTTTACAGTTCAGACTATGCCCTCTCTCAAACGCTCCAGTATTGCCAGCCGACTCCGCTGCCACATACCCCAGACTATGTCTCACTGGAACGTGGAAATTCAGCGGCGGTAACTCTGCGAGCGGACGCGCACAGGACGGTTTGAGCAGGAGGCGACATTGCGAGCCGCCCCTCAGTCAGCAATATGCTCCTATGACGTCATCAGATGTGTCATATATCACTGAAACTCGCGTCACCGTCATAGCGATATGACGTCATTACGACATGACGTCATTACATGAGAATCGGGCAGAGTGAACTTCACACCACGACTGAGTGAGCACTTTATGCATAGGTCCGTGTCTCCCTCTCACTCACTCTCACTCCTACAGTATTTACAGCTAACTTCATCTCACCAAGCTCACACACTGCCTTGCATCTTGCACATTGACCATTGCACGTAGCGGGGCCACGCCCCCGGGCAGGCCGGAGCCCTCCCCTCCCGCAGCTCGGCCCCCTCCCCTCATGAGACACCGTTGCAGATTGTCGTGTGGCCGAGTTTGTCGAGCTGCTCGTCGCTGCAGGCCGTCTCGTACGAGGGGGGCTCCTCGGCGATCACAGAGAGGTAGGCGGGCGGCGGGTCGTACGTCCTGCGGCAGAACAGGGCGGGGAACGGGTTAGATATCTATACCTATCGACAGAAGTCTACACAGCGAGTTTATTTGGCAGTGCTTTTTTCAATAGTTTATAGATATGGGCAATTAAAAAACGATTATTTTGCTACGTGTCTTATGCTTAGGAACTAACATAAAAAACGTGCTATGTATCACACAAGGTTGTGTATGGATACAAAAGAGGTACCTAGGTAGGTAGTAGGTATACTGCCATGAGTGCAGTACCCGTCCTGTCATCACCTAAGTACACGGTCAAGTAGGTACCTTCCGCCTGATATGTGAATACCGATAATCGAACTGACGCCACCCTAACATACACCTTTGACATTTCATGTGCAAGTGATGTCGTACCTGTGCAAGTGATGTCGTCCAGGCAGCGGAGCTCGCAGGGCCACCACCGGGGGAGCCGGCGGGGGAGCTCGGCAAGGGCGGGACGCCTCCTCAACTTCCTCACTGAAAGAGAGAGGAAGAGAGGGGGTAACAAACAGAGCACGGGGAGCTCGGCACGGGCGGGACGCCTCCTCCACTTCCTCACTGAAAGAGAGAGGAGAGAGAGAGAGAGAGAGAGAGAGAGAGAGAGAGGGGGGGGGGGGGTCAGAGACGGAGTACGGGGAAGAGAGGGCGGGTCCTCCGCCTCCTCATTGGAAGAAAGAGGAAAAGAGGTCACAAACGGCAGACGAGGGTACGACGAGGGTAAAAGCATCTCGTCACTGTGCGAGAGGAGAGAGGAGGAAAGGGTCAGAAATTGAGCTCGTGGTGAGATACCAGCTCCTCCTGTGGATGGTATCTGCATATGTATGTGAAATGGCGCAAGGACACTATCCTTGTGAAATGCCACGTAACCATTCCCAGGTGTCAGGAGCGATGATGATGATGATGATGATGATGATGATGGTTTAGAGGATTTGCCTTTGCAACGGCTCCTCCTATTCTTTTAAACTGTACTTAAACTATCGCGCTATGAGTTGGTATGGGGTGCATTATTAGTATTGACCTATTATAACGGTATACGACGCACCGTTTAGGTGAAGGGACGAATCAAATGTCATATGCTTAGATTAAGGTTACGGCTGCCGGATGTCGAGCCCCGTGGGTCAGAGGTCAAACGACTGGATATCGGTGACCAGAGGCTAGATGTCGGCAAGAAGTTAGACTACAGAGGTCAGGTCAAAGGTCAACTGTCAAAGGTTAGGTCAGAGGTCAGGCCTGAGGTCAGATGACGGTCAGCTCAAATGCTGGATAATGGTCAGGTCAGTGGTCAGATGATGGGGTCAGGTCAGAGGTCATATACCGGAGGTCAGGTAATAGGTCAAATGACGTAGGTCAGTGGTCAGGTGCCTATGTTGTGCCGATGGGTGGCATTCCCAGGCGGCAAAAAAGTCCTAGAAAGAAGCAGCGTCAATAGCTACCAGCCGGAACGTTTTGATTTACCAACGGAATGCTGGGGAGGTGGTGGGCTGAGCGATGAGTGCAGTGCAATGCTCCATGAACATTGAACACACATGTGAGTGGCAGGTCATTCTGAACACTCAGTCATGCATGAAGAAGTGATGCAATATGAGCGAATAAAGTTAAATGGATGTTTGGTAGTGCGACGAGTGCCCGTGATCCAAAGCACGGTTGCAGTGGGTGAGAAGGAGCGGTAAGAAGAGGTAAGAAGTCCTAATATGGCGACAATCTCAGCGTCAACCGGCGAACCATACGAGAAAAGCGGAACGGATAGGGGAGGGGTTCCTACTGCTGGGGAAATAGGAAAATGACTCGGTCAGGAGAGGGGCGATATTAGTCGATTTTTCAGCTAGTCTGTCCCCCACCCGCCGTTAACCCAACAGCAACAATATAGCATTTCTTCAAATCAAGTCATACACAAGCGCAGCGCAATAAGTAATAACTTGCCACGGCAATGATTGCATCGGTTTCCTCGTCGTCAGTTTTCTTACGAAAGCCTTCGTGGCATTGTATTCGACGAAGCCAAGGCATAACTGAGCAGTGCGGGGAAGGGCGAGGATTGCTCCATGGTTAAGCAGGTACCTACTTATCAATTACTTTCGTACAGTATTTCTAACGGCACCGATTCACGACAGGAATTCGATGTTATTGGTAAGTCAGGCTTCAGAGATCAAAAGAGTTTCATCGAATGGCGCTGTACCTAAACAGAAACATACCTAATGTTCTGACGAGTCGCCAGCATTATGTCGAAGTTATCGTAATTGATCGGCAGCTAGTTTGGGTTTCATCAGAAGCCGGAAACTATGTATGAATGACGCGGACACTCCGAGCGTCACAGCGGTGCATGTCCCGTAAGCCGTGAGCATTGTTCCGCGGAGTTCGTGATGTCAGCGTTGATCTAATAAGAACCGCGCGCGTAGAACAGCCGTGACGCGATGATGCCACGTCAGTATATGATAATAGGCCGCCGGGAAGCCTGGAACTTCCACGAGACACTGCCCTGCGCAGTTAGCGGGGTATATCGTGCCGATAAACATATTGTTTGACATCATGTGCACAGGAAAGAGGGTTGCCGTGAACCACCATGCGCTTTGTTGGCAACCGGTGTCTGGTATGCCTAGGTTAAAGGTAGTGTGCCAGCTTTCTTGGACCATATGGAGTTAATGACCCGGATAAGGAGAACTGGATTTTTAGAACTTATCCATACCTTCAAAACTTATGGAAACGTCTTAAATTCTTCAAATTTTGAGTACCCCAGTGCGAAATTCGCCCCGACGGGTTGTCGGTCGTACCCCAACCACATTTCACACCACTATGAACAATAAATGCACACATTAAAATCGCTATTACCGATAGGCTCATCCAATCAAGTTTCGATAAACCCGTTCATCATCATCTCCTGCGGTTTCGAACACGCCTGTTAGGTGGCTTCTGATGCTCGTCGAGGTCGGAATTTCCAAATACGCGTGGTGCGTCGGGCCGCGCGCTCTGACTTCGGCCAAGAAAAATGCGTCAGCTGATCATTGTCATTTCTGCCACTTGCGTGTGGTGTAATGGGGTCATAACTTAAGAGACGGCTGTTTCATATCAATTATTTTACATAAAATCATATTTCAAACCACAAATTAATGTTTGACAGCCAAATTTAAGAAACAATACCAATACAGGCTTACAGTTTAAGGCTCGACATTGTGTTGTCTACGATTAGACAGCTGATAACTCATTCCCGTACGTCGTATGGTCGTAACACTATAATGACCTTTGCTTATTGTCACAAGTGCGCCGCATGCGATTGTTGCCCGACGCCTGTTTGCAGGTGAGCCCACTACAGTTGTTATACATATCTAAAAACCGATAAACTTTTAGGCGAAAAAGGCACTATTCCAGGCCCATTTTTGATTTTTTTTTGCGATATTAGGTAAAAACAGAAGCTTCTTATCCTAGGAAAAATAAAACAGGAAATCTTTCAAAGGTGGCACACTACCTTTAAGGGTCAGTGCGTTGGAGGACGGCACAAAAATAGAAGGTTCATGATTAGTTGCTGTTCTTTACTTTCCTGCATCAAGGGTATTATCACAAAACAAACATGACTAGAGTCATCGACCACAGACGTGTTTTTCTGTCTGCTGTAAGAGGATAAAGCAACGCCAGCCAGTTGGCCAAACAAATCTAACCAGCATGATATTTTACCCATCACAGAACAACCACAAATAAACACCAAAGCGGTGCTTGTTTCTCGTCACCGTTTATTTTCGGTTTAAGCTAACCGGACGCTTTCAATGAGGACTGTCTTGTAGATGTGCAATGTGCAATTTACATGCATTTGAAAACTACATGCAGAATCGGATCAGCTTTCAAAAATGCGCTGTTGAAGCAGTACTTTCAGGAAAATAAGTGGCCCTGCTGAATGGTTGCCTTCAAATTGGTCGGCGGCTGACCCAAATCCCCTTTCGATGACCACAGAGTCTGTCCTGTCCTATCCTGATGCGTGTGCCCCTGACCTGGATAGCTGTGACTGGGGGTCTTCACGAGCTGCAGCGGCACAGGACATCGCCACGCTGCACACGCACAGCCGCGACGGCGCTACACGGGCGTCCCACCTGCAGACTGCAGAGGTGCAAATCCTGACCCCTGGCACACCAGAACTGAGGTGCAAATTCCCGGCAAACAGCAGTCCCAGGCAAACCAGAGGGACTCCCAGCAAGACGGCTATCCCTCCCCCGCCCCCTGCACACTAGAATTAAGTAGGAAACTCCCTCAGACGAGCGGTCCCCCTCTAAGGTCAAACTGCAGAGTGCAGACTCTCAGAACACCTCCCACGGAGGCCACTCGCAGAGAGTAAAGTTTAATGCACTGACCACCCTCCCACAAGCCCGGTTCTCACTACCTACGTAGACACAGGCAAACAAATCAGCTCTGTGTGTTTTCTATTTGACATTGACCTCTCATTTGCTTTTGATAAGCATTGCTGTGGTTCACTTCAAACCCACTTATTTGCAGGACGTGACGCCCTAAAGCTAGCAGTGACGAAGACCACCAAATATGGCTAGATCGCCGGACAGAAATTGGCTCCTTTTCTGCAGGCAGGCCCCTAACATTCTTCCTTCCTCCTCGCTAACTCTATACGACAGCCGTGGTCGAACGGCGCTCAGTGACCAACCCGTATAACCCGGTGATGTCTAACCGCAAAACTGGCGCGGCGGGCCCCTATCACGAGTGGACCGAATGGCACGGGAGGCCTTGAGACGGCTGGGTGTGTGCAGTCGAGTAAAACTGCCCCGCGGGAGCCACTTAGCAACAGGCACGGACGGTTCGCAACGGAGGCTTTGACCGGCCACTGGCGCACAAAGAACGGGCAGAGGAGGGGTGAAGGTTACCAGAGGGGGGGGGTGCAGGGAGGAGCAGGGGGGTCTGCGCACAGTCTGCCGGTGCTGATGAACAGCCCCTCTGCAACTGCAGCCAGTCAGAGGGAGGACGGACCGGGACGTCTCGGCCGGATGACGAACTGGATGATCGCTGCACGAGATAACGATAACCGACATCCCCAGACGAGGATTACGACATCAGCTTCAGCGCCGGACTGGACTGGACTGGATAAGAGCAGATGTATCGAGTGACTTTGTTTAGAGAGAGAATAAGGCCTACGTCATTACTGTCATTGTTGATCATATCGGAGAGGAAAGGGGAGGCCCATCGAATTCGTAGTACCACCTAAATGTACTCATGGGTAGTACGAGGCGCGAGCAAAGTAATTTTGATACGAGCCACGATCCCAGCAGACTCCTGAGCAGTCATGCCACATTTTTATCTTATCTCGAATGGAGCAGAATCGTTGAAGCACAGCTAACTGGGCACGGATTATGATAATCGGCTCGCCAATAGTTACATAACATATCATATCATTGGCAGAGGACACTTTTGGCAAGCATTGGTCGGCAGGGGTTTGGCAACCGATTGAGGGAGGGGAATGAGAGAGATATAAGTAACCTTGGTCGGTACACTGT